CAGACGGCTGGGCCGTCGGCGGTTTCGCTGGCCCCGCCCTGGTGAAAGGATGCTAGTTAATGAAGGTCACGTCATCAGTAATACCTGTCAAACCCGTATTGATGGGCACGCCGTTCCCGGAGATACCAGGCTTGGCTGGACCATCGGTTGCAGGGCCAGGGGCAGTATAATGAGGTTGCATGGTTGGCCTCACGGGCGTCTTCTGTGAAAGCTGGGGCATGTCGAACAGACTGCACCTGGGCAACTTATCCAATTCTTTCTCGACATATGGAAAGGATTCCATTCCCATAAATCTCGTCATCTCTTTTGCCCTTTCGACCACGGCCGCTTCGCGGTCGGCAGATTGCAACTGATGCTGCACATGTTGCCCTTTCCCTTTCAAGGACTCAGTGATGATAGCCTTGAGCTCCATCACTTCTTTCTCTGATGCAACTGCGCGCGCCAACGCCTCATCCTTCTCTCGAATGTCGGCAGTTGACCTTTCTGAGCTCAGTCGAAGCTGTTCCTCAGCTTGCTCCTTCATCCGCTGCATATTAAGTTTATCAGCGTAGAAATTATCCAAGAGCTTTCGCTGCTGTGCACGAAAGTTGGGGTCAGCGCTACGCCGCCGCCATTGCCCATCCCACTCCGCCTGTTCCACGGGCAAACTCTTTCGTTGAGTACACGTGACGCAACGTCTGGTGCTCGTGTCAAAGTGGTCTTTACAGCTTGGCAATCCGCAAGTAGCGCATTCTCCGATTTTCGGACTCGCGCATATGGATCAACTCTCTTCATTGGCCCCCTTCGCGGGCCGTGGCTGCTGGGCAGCCCTTACTCGCAGCATTGGCGGCATTCCGCCCTCCAGGGGCGCCGAGCCAGGCTGGGCCTGCGAGGACGTCGCACCAGGCGGCTGGGCCGCCGGCGATGGTCGTCTGCTCGCCCCCGCCGGCTTAGCCGGTAGGCACATTTCGTCACCTAAGTGCACTCGCTGAAGAGATGCCCTGGCATTTGCATGTTACTTGCGCTCTTCTCGATACTGATTATTCTGATCAACTATCGTCGCAGCTACAATCTGTGCATTGGCCACTTCCAGCCTGGCAGCACTACATTGGTCTTGGAGCTCCTGCTTATCATGTTCTGCCCCGGCCGTCGCGGCCCTCTCCCCTTCTATTCTCGCCACCGCAACAGCGGCGCAAGCGGTCTTGGCATCAACAGATAGTCTGTTGGCCGCCACGGCAGCCTGTCGTTCAGAAGATATCGTCTCAACAAGTCTGTCCTCGGCTTCTTCTCCCGCGCGCCGCTGGGCAGCAGCGGTCTGATAAGACATTTGTTCCATCAGCTCTTGCTCCCGCCTACTGGCAGCTTGGGCCAGGGCGACTCTTTCAGCCTCGAACTTCTTCCGAACATCCTCAATAACGGCGTTCATTTCTTCTCGATCCAGTCGGGCCTGTTCGGCCCTCTGGGCTTCCAGGACCATGATTTCTTGCTGTGTTTTGGCCTCAACGAATCTGGCCTGGCCCTGCATAGCTTGGATGGGAAGGCATTGACAGCTATGTTCTTCCATCCGAAAGCAATCCTCACACAACCATTGATTGCCGCAATTAAGACACACGTCAGAACAGTTTCCACACACTGGACGCTTACAGGGTCCACCCTGTTTGTGAGCTTTCCCCGGGCACCTGTTTTCCGCCTGGGGCGGGCAGTCGGGGCCCCGGTTCCAGCATACCTCACGCATGGATACTGCACTGTTACTCCTCGAAGTCGATCGGGCACCAGATCGCGGTATCTTGGGCCTTCCCCTGCTCGAAGCAGACGATCGAGGCCGGACGTGCGTCATCTCCGGTGGCTTGGCCACCTTTCGAAGCTCCTCATCCCATTCGTCTTGTTTAACCAACTCAGCGAGCGTTGCCGGGGGGCTGAGCATCTCATCTTCCTCAACTACCGCGGGCACCGACGGTTGCCAGGGCAACGGCAGTTCGATAAAACCCTTCCTGAAGCGGGGAATCATTCAAATCATAATATTCGTTCCTGTGCTTCTTATGCTGAGGAGCGGGCGTTCGACCCGTGGTCTCCCGGCCATGCTTCACATGACATTGGGAACCCATTTACTACCTCGACCGCCTGGGGCGGCAGGTCACTGATCGTGGTGTCTACGTCTGGTTCTGCGAGCGCTTCCCCAAGGACTTCCAAGTGATCGTAGTCAACGGTTTCTTGCCCAGGGGATGACCTTCCGTCTGGGACGGGGTGGTCAGCAGCGCTCATTAGCGACAAATCTTGGCTTGGTGATACTTGATACTTGGCATATTCTATGTCTTCCTCCATGGAGTTTATATCGTTTTCGTCATCAAGCTGTTCGTCGCTGTCTTGACCGGGCTGCCCGTTCAAGGCTATCGGGATGGGGTAAGTCCCTTGCGTGCGACCCCATCCGTCTGGGACGGAGGGGAACACACCGCCGGACTCTTTTACGTCTTGCGACCCACTGGCTTAGCCAGCGGCCGGCTCGACAGACCGCATGGCAATCGGCCTGGAATGTATTGCCTCAGAGGATTCAGCAATCCAAGATGAAAAGGCTCTTCGCCTGACATTTGCTGCTGTGCCGTTCCGCCTTATCGGGTCTGGGGTCTGTTCACGACCCCTGATCGGAATGCGAGTGGGAGAATCATCTACTGACAAATCTATGACTTCTCCCTCACCCTTTCCACGAGAAATCCGAGTGGTATTAGAAGACGAGAGAAGGCGGCCCTCCCCCGGGCCGCTGTCCTTATGTTCTTGCCCGTCTCGTTGTACAACGTGTGATCCGACGGGCAATTCGGCTGTCTCATCATAGCTCATCCCTGTTGCGACTTTGTCGCGGGTTTCGGCTGATAAAAGGTCTTTCCTCTGAGAACCGGGGTAAGATGCCAAAGAAATTAAGGTCTCATGTTGACTGTGCTCAGTGGTAGAGGATACGGGATGAAACATCGATGAAACTGTAGGTTATCCGTTAAGCAACTACACTCAAGTATAGGAAGTGAGGAGTCCGGCCATGGACGGACGACGACACGGGCCGCCCACGCGCCCCCCGGCGCGCTCCTTTTCTCACTCGAGCAGCAGATGCAGCTTCGGTATACAGTGATACCAATGTCAAGGTATGGCAAGGCAGGCAGCAGGAGAGGCAAGTGTATAATGAGGCGGAGAGGAGCACATTTACTCCTTCGCGGGGCGCCGCGTCCTGGGTGGCACGGGGGCGGCGCGCAGGCACGAGCGGAGGCGGGGCTCGGCACAGCAGGGTTGTACGCTGGTCCCGAGTGTTGATGCATCCTGAGTTTGCGCTGGTCCTTCGGCTCCTCCTCCTCCTCCTCCTCCTCCTCCTCCTCCTCCTCATCATCATCATCATCATCATCATCATCATCATCATCATCATCATCATGACATCATCATGACATCATCATCATCATCATCATCATCATCATCATCATCTTGATCATAAACAACAAAAACAGCATCATCATCATCATCATCATCATCATCATCATCATCATCATCATCATCATCATCATCATCGTCATCATCATCATTATCATCATCATCGTCATCATAATCATCATCATCATTATCATCATCATCATCCTCATCATCCTCATCATCATCACCATCATCATCATCATCATCATCATCAGCAGCATCAGCAGCATCATCGTCATCATAGTCATCATCATCATCATCGGCATCATCATCATCATCGTCGTCGTCATCATCATCATCGTCATCCTCATCGTCATCATCAGCATCATCATCGTCATCATCATCATCCTCATCCTCATCCTCATCATCATCATCATCAGCATCATCAGCATCATCATCATCGTCATCATCGTCATCATCATCATCGTCATCATCAGCATCATCATCCTCATCATCATCGTCATCCCCTCCTCCTCCTCCTCCTCCCCCTGACGTTCCTCTCCCTCTTCCACATCATCACCCGAACCATCATCATCATCAGCATCATCATCGTCATCATCATCATCATCATCAGCATCATCACCACCACCATCATCATCATCATCCGCAGCATCATCATCAGCATCATCATCATCCCTCCTCGTCTCAGCTCCTGCATCCCCTTCCACTCATCCGCCATCGTCCCCCTCCTCTTCCTCCTCCTCCTCCTCCTCCCCCTGTCCCACCTCCTTCCATCTCCGACTCCTCCTCTCCCCAATCCTCTCCCCCTCCTCCACGTCCCCCTCCTCTCCCTCAATAATTACACAAAATGAATACTACTCTCCTCTCTCCTGTGACTCTGCCCGAAGAGTGTCCCACGTATTGCGTTTTTACACACAGGATTTCATGACTTGGTTTTTCCTGTGTTTTTGTCCATCCCGTCGTTTCTGGTCATTCCAAAATTGGTGTTCCCGCTGCAGTGCCGCCTTCATTTCCGCGCTTCGGTCATTCGTGCTCCCGCTGCAGCGCTGGCCTCGTTCCCGCGCCTCTGGACGGAACTTGGCATTCGAAAGCGCCCACATCAGGCAAGCACGGTTGCGAAGGACATGGAGCCGGCATTCCGGACAGGCCCTGTCCTCTCGTAGACGGGCCAATTACCCTTCAAGTCATCTGGTGCCATGCCACAGCATGCAATGCGATGCAGTGTTGTGCACCGCTGTACGATGCCATGCTTTGCGTTGCTATGCTTTGTGATGCAGTGCTTCACTACGCAATGCCACGCCATGCTACGACATGCTATGCTCTGCCGTGCTCTTCTACGCCATGCTTTTCAATCCATCGCATACCCTCTTGGGATCGTTGCCCTGCTCGACATCCGATTGTACGAATAGATAGGATATCTAAGAGATGGGAGGGAGGATTAGGACGTCAGATGTGCCACTAGAGCACCTAGCTTGTCCTCCTCCCCCTCATCCTCCTGCTCCTTCCCTTCCTCCCTCTCCTCCTCCCACTCCTCCCCCATCCCAAGGAGGGAAGCAGCAGCGGGGGCAGGAAATGAGCAGGAGGGCAGAGGAGGATCTCGATTGCTTGCCCCCTGCCTTCTCGAGCTTCGCGGTGGCCTCCTCCATCGCCTTCTTGGCGGCCTCGGCGTCGATCTTGTCGACCGTCTCGAAGTCGTTCACCAGAATGGAGAGCGAGTTCGAGTCCACCGAGGCGAAGCCGCCCATGACGACCAGCGGCATCCACTTGCCATCCTTGGAGGAAGAAAATACGAAACAACCAGAAACTTTCGGAACTCCGAGCGGATTTCTCGGATAGGCGCTGGACCCCCCCAGGGCGTCGCAGGAGGCATCCTTCAGGACGTTCAAATAAAACAAGGATGTTCAAAGACAATGAATTGAACATTCTAGGTTGTCGCGTAGATCTCGAAGCTCCGAAGCGTGGCAGAAAACAAGACTAGGATTTGTTTGTAATGAAACGGCGCCACGACACGGCATAAAACATAATAAGGCCACGACACGAGCATAATAAAACATAACGACACGACACAACAGATCTGCGGGAAGATCCAGAACGCAATCCGGATGATGACCTGCAGGAAGATCTGGAAGACGATCTGACAACGATCTAATGAAAACTCGGGGAGGCAATCCGGGTGAAGATCCGAAGAAAAAACTGGAGGAACATCTGAAGGAAGATTTGGGCGAAGATCTGGTGCAAGGTCTGGAGGAAGATCTGGGCGAAGATCTGGGAGAAGATCTGGGCGAAGATCTGCGGAAAGATCTGGAAGGAGACCTGAGGAAAGATCTGGGCGAAGATCTGGAAGAACATTTGGAGAGAAATCTGGGTGGAGACCTGGGGGGAGACCTGGGCGAAGACCTTGAGAAAGATTTGGAGGAAGATCTGGGCGAACATCTGGAGGAACGATCTGGGCGAAGACCTGGAGAAAGATCTAGGGAAGGTCCGAAGAAGAATCTGGAAGAAGATCTGAAGGAAGATCTGGGTGAAAATCTGGGGCAGGCCTGGAAAAAAGCTGGACGAAGACCTGGGCAGAGATCTGGGCGAAGATATGCAGGAAGATCTGGGGGGAGATCTGGGGGGAGATCCGGGGAAGATCTGGAAGAAAATCTGGGGAACATCTGGAGGAAGATCTGGAGGAATATCCGAGGAAAGACCTGGAGGAAGATCGACGCTAAAATCTGGAGATATCTGGACGAAATTCTGGAGGAAGATCGCGGGGGACATCTAAAGGGTGATCTCGGGGAAAAGCTGCGGAAGATCTGAGCGAAGATCTGGAGGGAGATCTGGGAGAAGATCTGGAGGGAGATCTGGTAGATGATCCTGGGGAGGATCTGGGGAAGCTCTGGGAGAAGACTTTGAGCGAGATCTGGGCGAAGATCTGGGGGGGCGATCTGAGCGAAGATTCGGCGGAAGATTTGGGGGAAGATCTGGTGAGAAATCGGGAAAGATTTGGAGGAAGATCTGGACGAAGATCTGGACGAAGATCTGGACGATGATCTGACCGAAGAATTTGAGGAAAATCTACTGGAAGAGCCGAAGCAGTATCCGGGCGAATATCTGGAAGGAGATACGGGCAAATGTTTGGGGGACATCTTGACAAAGACCTGGAGGAGATCTGGGCGAAGATCTACTGTAAAGTCTAAAGAAAGACGCGGGGAAGATCTGGAGGAAGATCTGGTGAAGATCCAGGTGAAGATATCAGGGAATATTTGGGCGAAGATCTGGAGGAAGACCTGGTGGAAGATCTGCGGAAAGATCTGGACGAGAATTTGTAGAAGATCTGCGGAAAGATCTGGACGGAGACCTGAGGAAAGATCTGGGCGAAGATCTGGAGGCAGAAGATCTGGTGGAAGCTTTTGGAGGAGATTCGGGAGAAAGCTGGAGAGAACTGGAAAACGATATGGAAGAAGATCTGGCCGAAGATTTGGAGGAAGATCTGAAGGAAAATCTGGAGAATATGTGGAGGAAGATATGGAGGAAGATCTTGGGGGAGATCTGGTGGGGAATCTGGGGGCGTTCTGAAAAAATATTGAGGGCGATCTAGGGTAGATCTGGAGGAAGATCTGAAAGAACTCTGGGGAAAAATCAGGAGGAAAATCTGCGCGAAAATCCGCCGACCCTGTGTCGGCGTGTGTGACGGGCTTGTCCGTTCCCGTCGTTCGCTCGTCGAGGTCTCCGTCGTTTCTTGTCCCTGCGCCCACCCTTTCCCTGGCCCAGTCGTCTCCTGTCCCTGCGCTCCCCCTTTTCCCTGGGCCCGTCTCCCCTCCCCCCCTTTCCCCCTCTTTCCCTGGGCCCGTCGCCGCTCCCGCCCCCCCGCTTTTCCAGGGCCTCCCCCTCAGGAGCAACGTTGTCATTGAGTCGAGAGTCGAAGGGAAGCCCCTTCCCTTTGATCCCTCCCCTGCCCGGGGGGGGGGGGCCCAGGGTCCCGGGGGGGGGGTAGCCCCGCGTCAGATACGACTCCCCCCCGGACGGGCCAAGAGCCGAGGCACTCCATCACGCCCCCGCCCCGGCCCCTGCCCCCGTCCAGCCCCAGCCCCGGCTCCGCCTCCGGCCTCGGCCTCGGCCTCGGCCAATCCCCGCCCCGGCCCCGGCCCGAGTCCCAGCCCTGGCCCCGGCCCTGGCCCTGGTCCTGGCCCCCGGACCTGGTCTGGGCCGCAGCCCTCGACAGTGGCGACCTGTTCGCAGATCGCAGCCCCCCAGGGATGGCGGGGTCGAAGTTGAATGTAGATAGGACGTCACTCCGCTGGACCACCCCAACAGCCCTCGGAACTGGCGACAGCTTCGCAGATCGCAGTACCCCAGGAACGGCGAGATCGACTTTAAACCTGTGTGGGTCGTCGCCCGGCTGGACCCCCCAACAGCACTCGAAAGTGCAGATCGCAGCCCCTCAGGGATGGCGAGGTCCCCTGGTGATCCGCGTAGGACGTCTCTCCGCTGAGGATGCCACGGATGACCAGATAGGCGGCAAGCTCGCATGCAGGAAGGAGCGAGACAAAAATATGCCGAAATTCGTCAAAAAATACTAGGTTGTGTAAGGATGTCAAAACCGGCCGTCCCGAAACCATGCAAAAAAACATGTGGTTCCCCAGCAACAGCTGTCAAACATTACCCTGCGACGTACCCATCCCATTTGCATCAGCTGGCAAGAGGAGTTGGCCCAAACTTGCCTGGACAATGACAGTGCAGGCGCCGTTATATGATGTGCAAACTACATGAGATGCGCTCACGTGGTACGATTCACAGGACAGCCACAGAAGGACGAGGAGCGAAGGCCCAGGCTTGACGAGGACATGAGGGCGGGAACGAAAGGCAGGAGAAGGCCGCGCGGGGGGGGGAGCGACCCGTCTGCGCGGCCGCAGCAGAGGGAAGGTGGCCGGGGGCAGAAAACGACGACGAAACTGACGGGGGCAGACCGAAGAGTGCTGCTCTTCCCGGTAGTACGCTAAAGATGCAGAATTGTTTGCGCCATGTCGCCGCAGCGCTCGACAGAAGGATTTCAACTGCGCATAGTTGTGCAAGGAGCGACCCCGCCAGCTTCCCTGCTTCAGTACTGCACTTTTCACTGCGGGAGCGAAACGCTCGCAGGCGCGCCGCCGGGTGTGCGGGCGGCCCGCGACAGCGCCCCGCCGGACCCCACAGCAGCCCTCGAAAGCGGCGACAGTTTCACAGATCGCAGCACCACTGGGATGGCGATGTCGAATCTGACTCTGCGTAGCACGTCACTCCGGTGGGCCCCCCAGCAGCCCTCGAAAATGGCAATGGTTTCGCAGATCGCAGCCCCACAGGGAAGGCGAGGTCCAATCTGAACCTGCGTAGCAGACAGTTTCGCAGATCGCAGCCCCACAGGGATGGCGATGTCTAGCCTGAGTCTGTGTACGATGTCATTCCCCTCGACCTCCCGGCAGCCCTCCAGCATTCGAAAGTGGCGACAAGTTCGCAGATCGCAGCCCCCCAGGAATGGCGAGGTCTAATCTGAATCTGCTGCGAGCACCCACTGTGCTGGCCCCCCAGCAGCCCTCGAAAGCGGCCACGGCTTCACAGGTGGCAGCCCCCCAAGGGATGGCGACGTCTAATCTGAATCTGCGGCGAATGCCCACTATGCTGCCCCCCTAGAAACCTTCGGAATTGGCGACAGTTTCGCAGATCGCAGCCCCCCAGGGATGACGAGGTCTAATCTGAGTCTGCGGCGAGTACTCACTATGTTGGCCCCCCAGCAGCCCTCGAAAGTGGCGACAGTTTCGCAACTCGCAGCCCCCCGGGGACGGCGAGGTCCAATCTACGTCTGCGGCGAGTACCCACTATGCTGGCCCCCCCAGCAGCACTCCAAACTGGCGACAATGTCGCATATCGCAGCCCCCTGGGGACGGCGAGGTCCAATCTGATTCTGCGGCGGGTACCCCCGACTATGCTGGCCCCCCAGCAGCCCTCGAAATTGGCGACAGTTTCGCAGATCGCAACCCCCCGGGGATGGCGAGGTCCTCAGCGCCGTGGCTCTGTCGACGGCAAATAATAAAAATTACCTTCGCGACGTACCCAACCCCTGCGCAATGCGGGGTATGAGTAGCTCGGGAGACGTTATACGGAGGTGATGACGTGCCATGGGCGCATATACTTTTGCGAGCGGCATTCGTGAGGCTCGCAGCCCCCCACGGATTGCGATGTCCCGCTCAGATCTGCCTGGCGCCTCGCTCCGCAGGACCCACCACCAGCCCTCGAAAGTGGCGACAGTTTCGCAGGTCGCAGCCCCCCACGGACGGCAAGGTCCCGCTCAGATCCGCGCAGTGCCTCTCTCCGCAGGACCCACCAGCAGCCCTCGAAAGTGGCGACAACTTCGCAGATCGCAGCCCCCCAGGGACGGCGAGGTCCCGCTCAGATCCGCGCGGTGCCTCTCTCCGCAGGACCCACCAGCAGCCCTCGAAAGTGGCGACAGCTTCGCAGATCGCAACCCCCCAGGGACGGCGAGGTCCCGCTCAGACCCGCGCGGTGCCTCACTCCGCAGGACCCACCAGCAGCCCTCGAAAGTGGCGACAGTTTCGCAGATCGCAGCCCCCCAGGGACGGCAAGGTCCCGCTCAGGTCCGCGCGGTGCCTCACTCCGCAGGACCCACCAGCAGCCCTCGAAAGTGGCGACATTTCGCAGATCGCAGCCCCCCAGGGACGGCGAGGTCCCGCTCAGGTCCGCGCGGTGCCTCACTCCGCAGGACCCACCAGCAGCCCTCGAAAGTGGCGACAACTTCGCAGATCGCAGCCCCCAGGGACGGCGAGGTCCCGCTCAGACCCGCGCGGTGCCTCACCCCGCAGGACCCACCAGCAGCCCTCGAAAGTGGCGACAGTTTCGCAGATCGCAGCCCCCCAGGGACGGCGAGGTCCCGCTCAGACCCGCGCGGTGCCTCACTCCGCACGACCCACCAGCAGCCCTCGAAAGTGGCGACAGTTTCGCAGATCGCAGCCCCCCGGGGACGGCGAGGTCCGGTTCAGGTCCGCGCGGTGCCTCACTCCGCAGGACCCACCAGCAGCCCTCGAAAGTGGCGACAGCTTCACAGATCGCAACCCCCCAGGGACGGCGAGGTCAAGCTCAGGTCCGCGCAGTGCCTCACTCCGCAGGACCCACCAGCAGTCCTCGAAAGTGGCGGCAACTTCGCAGATCGCAGCCACCCATGAACGGCGAGGTCCCGCTCAGGTCCGCGCGGTGCATCACTCCGCAGGACCCACCAGCAGCCCTCGAAAGTGACGACAACTTCGCAGATCGCAGCCCCCCTGGGACGGCGAGGTCCCGCTCAGGTCCGCGCGGTGCCTCGCTCCGCTGGGCCCACCAGCAGCCCTCGAAAGTGGCGACAGTTTGCCAGATCGCAGCCCCCCAGGGACGGCGAGGTCCCGCTCAGGCCCGCGCGGTGCCTCACTCCGCAAGACCCACCAGCAGCCCTCGAAAGTGGCAGCGGTTTCGCAGATCGCAGCCCCCCAGGGACGGCAAGGTCCCGCTCAGGTCCGCGCGGTGCCTCACTCCGCAGGACCCACCAGCAGCCCTCGAAAGTGGCGGCAACTTCGCAGATCGCAGCCCCCCGGGGACGGCGAGGTCCCGCTCAGGTCCGCGCGGTGCCTCATTCCGCAGGACCCACCAGCAGCCTTCGAAAATAGCGACAACTTCGAAGATCGCAGCCCCCAGGGACGGCAAGGTCCCGCTCAGGTCCACGCGGTGCCTCACTCCGCAGGACCCACCATCAGCCCTCGAAAGTGGCGACAACTTCGCAGATCGCAGCCCCTCAGGGACGGCGAGGTCCCGCTCAGGTCCGCGCGGTGCCTCACTCCGCAGGACCCACCAGCAGCCCTCGAAAGTGGCGACAGCTTCGCAGATCACAGCCCCCCAGGGACGGCGAGGTCCCGCTCAGGTCCGCGCGGTGCCTCACTCCGCAGGACCCACCAGCAGCCCTCGAAAGTGGCGACAACTTCGCAGATCGCAGCCCCCATCGTCGGCGAAGAGAAGGCAGGAGGAGGCGGGAGGCGGGAGGAGGAGGAGGAGAAGGGACGCGACCACAGCGCTCGATTCAAAACGAATACCCAACCAAGGAGGGTTGGAAAAAAGGAGGGAAGAGAGGAGATGGAATGAGAAAAGGAACGGAGAGAGGAGGAGGGGGCGGGATGTGGAGATCGCAGTGCTCTATTCAAAACGAGAACCCAACGCAGGAGGGTTGGGGAAAACTGCGTTCGCGCTCCTGCAAATTCTTAAGAGAACAACGCGTTGTCCAACATGTTCACGGAATTCTGTCAAACGGGCCTTTCGCGCCGCATGCCGAAATCATTCGAACGCCCTTACGCGCGTGCTGGGGGGGGCACGATCCGTGCCAAATAATATCATGCGGGCCACTCTCGCGCGTCGGCCGCGCGCGCATGTCGAGCTCCTTCCAAAACCTTCATCACCGACGCGAGGACGCCGTCATCGTTATCGGCGGCCGTGATCAACATCGGCGCCGTCGTTGGCCTTGCCGTCGCCATCGCCACCATCGTCACCATCGCTACTCTCAGAATCGTGTCTACCGTTGTTGGCGTCGCCATGATACCGCGCCCGCCCACATCACCGACTCGAACTGAAGTGCCCCCCGGGAAGCGCCCGGAAGTCCGCGCCACCGCGGCCGCGTCGGTCGCGCCAAACTGGCTGGCCGCTGAGCGCGCGAGCATGCGGCCGCAGAGGTCCAGCCAACGCCAAGCACTCATCGCAATCGCAGCCGCATGGCTTTTGCAAACCACGTAGCGGGTGGGTGGGTGGGATGTTTGCCAAACCATGGAATTTGTCAACTCGTTTGTAAAAAACAATCGCGCCACATGTATTCAGCCACGAACGATTGCACCATATAGCTCACACCACATTGCTTGCACCACGTAGCGTGCCCCACAAAGCCTGGACAACATAGGCCTGGCACCACGCATGCAGCAGCCAGTATGCTAATAACCACTGCTTGAGGCCCACGCTGGTTGACATGATTCTCTCTTCTTCCAATCCTGCTTATAGCGGATCACGCCGGTGTCCTGGGGAGACCAAATGGTACCGATACCTCTACTCCCCAGACCTCTCCCCGGGTGCTATCGGACCAGAATTTCAAGGCGAATCCAGCGGTGGCGACGAGGGCCTCCCAGGAGGCCGAGAAACGCCAGAACGGGCGAAGGGCAGCGGTATGGGTACTTGTTCCTTCTCTCAGTGTCCAGGGCGGTCATCATTGGGGCGTGGTTGGCTAGGACGCCCAGCTGGCCGCTGGCGCTGGGCAGCACCACCTCGCTCACGGCCAGGTCGATGCCCTCGCCCAGGGGGTTCTCCTCCTCCTCCTCCTCCTCCTCCCCCTCCTCCTCCTCCTCCTCCTCCTCCTCCTCCTCCTCCTCCTCCTCCTCCTCCTCCTCCTCCTCCTCCTCCTCCTCCTCCTCCTCCTCAAGGGAGCGTCCGCCGCCCGCCCGCCCGCGGCGCTCCCTGGCCGGGCCAGGCCCGCCCCCCCCCGCCCGAGGGAGAGCGCCGCGCGCAGCCCTGCCGGGCGGGGCCCAGCGGGCGGGCAGCGGGTTTCGGGTTTCGGGTTTCAGGTTCGGGTTTCGGGTTTCGGGTTTCGGGTTTCGGGTTTCGGGTTTCGGGTTTCGGGTTTCGGGTTTCGGGTTTCGGGTTTCGGGTTTCGGGGTTTCGGGGTTTCGGGGTTTAGGGTTACGCTCGGGGAGACGCAAGACTCGGGCACGGGGGCCTCGGGTTGGCCTGACCTGAGCATTTCCTTAGGGTGGAGGGCCCAGGGTGAAATCCACATGGGCCTTGGCACCGCGAAGACCCATCCGTCCTATGATTCACCTGCTGCAGATCCAGGCCTCGAGCGACCATCGAAACGGCGTTTCAGATTTCACCATTTGCCCTCCACCCAAAGAAAATGCTCGGCTGACGGGGGCCATCATGAAAAGGACGAGACCCAGCCTGAAACTTGACGCGAGCTCCCGCTGCAGACCCCCCACGAGAACCGGACCGTCAAAATCCAGGGCGCCCTCGTCAACAAAACGTCGGCAAACCCGAGTTCCGGCTTACTCGAGTCTTGCGTTTCCCCGACATGAGGCGGGCTCCCAGACGGGCTCGCGTCGCGGAGGAATCAGGACGGGGGGGGCAGAGGAAGGGAAGGAGAGTCGGGGATGGACAGAACCCCCTTTCGTAAAACGTGGACTCGTGAAAACGACCCTGGGCCCGAACCTGGCGGGCGCAAGCCTGGAAAAGAACGGCCGCGGCGCCCTCTCGACAACCGAGAGCGGACGATTCACGAATCGGCGTGTCAGGGTGGGGGGTCTGGCCAAAACCGGAGCAGGGGCGAGGCAAGTGCCAGTGACGGTATCTTTATGTCGGGCCTGTTCCCCTGCAGGGGGGTTTTCTACGAAAGAAAATACCCAAACAATACCCCAAAAAATTCAAAAATATTCACAAAATAAGCCCCTGACTATTTTCTGACTATTTCTTGGGGGCATTCTTGATGTCTCGTCGACAATCCCCCTGTAAGGGGGACAGGCCCGACTTAACGATATCTGGAGGAAGGGAAATGAGCAGGAGAAGGGCGAGGACAGTGAAAATGAATGGCCCACGGGTCGTGGGAAACGCCAGAGGGAGGGCGGGAGCAATGGGGCCCCGGGGGGGAGGGTCGTCGAGGCTCGAGGTCGTGGATCTTGCCATCGCTCAAGCGTCCTTTCCCCGTGCATTCTTCGACTTCGTGCTCCTCCTCCTCCTCCTCCTCCTCCTCCTCCTCCTCCTCCTCCTCCTCCTCCCTCCTCCTCCTCCTCCTCCTCCTCCTCCTCCTCCTCCTCCTCCTCCTCCCCTCTCCTCCTCCTCCTCCTCCTCCTCCTCCTCTCCTCCTCCTCCCTCCTCCTCCTCCCTCCCCTCCTCCCTCCTCCCTCCTCCCTCCTCCCTCCTCCCTCCCCCTCCTCCCTCCTCCCTCCTCCCTCCTCCTCCCTCCTCCTCCTCCTCCTCCTCCCCTCCTCCTCCTCCTCCTCCTCCTCCTCCTCCTCCTCCTCCTCCTCCTCCTCCTCCTCCTCCTCCTCCTCCTCCTCCTCCTGCTCCTGCTCCTCCTCCTCCGTGTCCTCCTCCTCCGACGGCGGGCTCTTGGCCCTGAGACCCTGGCGCCGCAATGTTTGGTCGAGCCAGGCGTGTTCGCCTTTTCTCGGGCCCCGGGGCACTCACAGATCGATGCGTCTCGAAAAATTCGGGAGCGGCCAAGAGGGGGGCGTCCAAGAGAGGGGGGGTGCAAATCATGGCCGGCGGCATGTGCGCGGCCCAGCGGGGGGGCCAGGGACGTAATGAAACAAGAAGAGGCGCCATGAGATCTGGGGAACTATCATGGCCCACGCCATGATATCCACCCCCCCCTGGTCATCACCCCCCTCTTTGCCGCCCCTGAAAAATGACGCAGAAAGATGGGGTCCAGGGTTCCGGGCGTGACTTTTACGATTCGCTGGATTTGTCCGCCTCGTCGGACCTCAAGCAGACAGGCTCGCGTCGTGGAGAAATCAGGGCGGGAGGCTCTTTTGGGCCATGTTCATTGGGCGCGAAGAGGCGGGGGGGCGATAGGTGAGGGGGGGGTCGGGGGCGCGCAAACATGGATTAGCGATCCATGGATGTGGCGCGCGGTCGCCAAATCCATGGATCAGGGGAGGTGCCCTCCCCAAAATGCGGCTGGTGCCGCCTCGTTCGGCGGGGGAAATCCGCGATTCCCAATGGAAACGGGACCCGTCGCTAACCCACCACGCCCCCTCAATCCATGTTTGCGATCGCCGGAGGGGGGGAGAGGTGCCCTTCTCATGGCCCTGAAGGGTCCCCCCTTGGGCCCTCGAGGGCCCCTTCAGGGGCCCCCAGGGGCCCCTTTTCTGCAGCCCTCGCTGCCCCCCTGATCTATCGCCCCCCCCCCCCCCCCCCCTTGGCATCGCCCCCCCCAGTGCACGGGTCGTGGACAGGGCAGGACGGGAGGGCTTTTTGGATCGCCATCGACTGGACTGGATTGCAATTGACCGGAGTGCGATCGATTGGATTGGACTGGGATCGAGTGGACTGCCACGGGGGGAGGGTGCACCGGGGCGGCAGGCCACGGGCGGCGACGGGGCGGCGGTGGGGCGCGGGCCACGCCCGCGGAGCTGCGATTGGCAAGCCGCGCAAGGCAGCGGTGAGGGCAGCCGCGCAGACGGGCTCCAAGGCCATGCTCGCGGCGTGGAGGAACATCGGCCCCGGCCCCCCTCGGGCCGTGAAAAAAATCACGACGGGCGGCTCTCTGCCATCTGCGGCCTCCCGCGGCCCGGACCGGGCCCCAGGATAGGGGGCCACATGCGAACCCTGTCCCTACCCCCCACGATTTCTGAGGGGGAGGGTTTGGTTCACTCCGTTCGGGAGCTCCCGAGCGAAGTGAACCCCACCCTCCCCCTCAGAAATTGTGGGGGGGGTAGGGGTAGGGTTCGCATGTGGCCCCCTACAGGACCGTCAGATAAACGGCAGGGTGAAGAACCAGTCCGTGGGGAAGGGGTCGAGACCTCCAAGGGTCGAGGTCCCAGACATCCGCCGATCTGATTGTTCCAATCCGCGGCCCCAGAGGTCCCGACCCCTTCCCCAGGAGTGGTTTTTCGTCCCGGATCCATTTTTGATGGTCCCCGGGCCCGATAACTGGCCCCGGAGGCCGAAATCCAGGAAAAAACTCCAGATTGAAAAAATCAGATCCTCGGATCTATGGGATTATGAAAGACTCGTGCCGTCGGGGGTCTGGGAGGACTGGTGGCTTGTGGCCAGTCTCGGCCTCCCGGAGCCCTCGCCGGGCCCTCGGGCCGTCAAGGGAACGACCCGCGTGCTCGCGCCGCCCTGGGGCAGGTTCGCGCCGCGTCGGCGCCACGGCGACCCGGCGCGATCGTTCCAAGGAGGGAGGAGGGAGGAGGGAGGAGGGAGGAGGGAGGAGGGAGGAGGGAGGAGGGAGGAGGGAGGAGGAGGAGGAGGAGGAGGAGGAGGAGGTTGAGCGTCGCCGGCGGCCAGGAGACTTATGTCTGAAAACAACGCAGGATTAAAAACCGGTCCTGGGAAGAGGGTCAGAGCTTCCAAAGGCATGGAGAAATTCAGAGCGTCGCATGTCTAAACTTGCGCCGTGGAAAAACCTCGACGGTAGGCTGTTGGCCGGTTTCGGCCCCCGGGGGCCTTCGCTTGGAACGCGTGCGTCGGGCCCGAACATACAATACAGCCATCTTGCAGTATACCATTTCCCGAGCGGCACGGCCAGAAAGCACCCGCAACGGAGCGTATACTAGAAGATTTCTAAGCGCGCGCGTCGCACCTGTATGGTGGGTGACGCCGATCACTGGGCCCGGCCCTCGAGAAAGCGGTGGGACTTCTCCTGGTTGACCCACAAGGGGGTCCAGCAAAAAGAGGGTGGTGCAATAGATCTAGTGCTATAGAGTTGTGGGGTTGCAATAGATTTGGGCTGTGCAATACATTTCCGGGCGCAAATGTATTGCTGGATTTCCTCGTATAATACATTGGTTGCAATACAATGCAACAATTGGCGCAATACGTTCTGCACATTTGCAACACGATTGCCCCAAATCTACTGCACCACCCCCTTTCAGCTGGACCCCCTTTGGGGTCACGAGGGCCCCACTGCGCGGTCCCTGGAAGTTCTGGGGGCCGCGCATTGAAAAAATCAGGGCATCACACTTCCTGCATCCTGGGCCAAGAGATGGCTGGGAATCGGTGCGGGCGAACGGCTCACTACACTGGGCAGCCACACCCGAAAAGGCTGGCGTCGAGAAGAAACCACGACGGAAGGGTTGTTCGCTATGGTTGGCCTCTGGGGGCTCTTACCTAGAGGCCTCCTGGATCGTGTCGGAGGATCACGCCGCATCGCCAATACATCAGCGATGTATCGGCGATGCATCGGCGATGCACCAGCGATCCATCGCCGACGTCGGCGATGCATCGGCAACGTCGGCGTGAAGCATATCGGGCTCCGCATCGAGCCGCATCGTCGATGCATCGGCGATGCGGCGCGATCCTCCGACCCCATCTACTCCGAGCCCATCCAGGAGGCCTGGATTACCGGGCCTCGGGACAGCCAGAAAACGACTCAGGATGGAAAGCCCGTCGCAGGGAAGGGGTCGGAGCTTCCAGGGACCCCGCATGGAAAAAACCAAAGCGTTGGCTGTCTGGGCACGTGAACCATTCAGCGGCGAGCGAGGGGGGGAAGTGGTAAGGGGCGGGCCTTCGCAGAAGGCTCGGAAGTCCCCCGGCCTTCTCAGAAGTTCTATAAGCCTGCCCCGAAGACACT